ATATCACACGTAGTGCCCAGTCTTCTCTACAGCTCGGGACTCCTTCCAAGAATTCTTTATAGGCCAAATAAGTACTTCATATAGTCTTATCATTACAGGGTTTCGCATTTGAAAGCTCCTGTAGATTACAGAGATAATTAATTAAATTAATTACCACCAGCTGAAATCGAACTGTTGACCTCGTCTGTAGAGGGTTAGGCGTCTAGACCACTAGGCTATGGGACCCTAACCCTATGTATTAATTAATGTAGCTATTTTAAAATAAAGGTGGATTTTTTAAATTCTATATATAGTCGACCTTCAATAAATGCACGTTGTTGGGTAATAAAATATTCATTATAAAAAATAATCTATATAATATTAAACAATTATATTAAACTGATCAAATTAGATATACTTATCATTATACACTTATAGAGTAAATTATGCACTACCATTAGAATATGTATTAATTCAAAATGAAGAACTTGATTTTTAAAATAATACATTATTTCATGCTTATATGTAGCCAATAATAAACTCACCTACCAATATAACTTTAATAATATATTCTTCAACCTAATCATTGAAGTATAAGGTGAAAACAACTTGATTCTATGTTTTATATTATCCCTTTCTATCTTCTGGAGAAGAGAAGGGGAGTTGAACATATTATACCAGGTTGGTAAAAAAGTAACTAAACAGTGACTTTTTTTAATCACTATGGTTATTATTTTAACATCTAAACATTAAAGTGATAATTATAGTGATTTAAAAAAAATCACTGTTCAGTTACTTTTTACAAACCTGGTATGTATAGAAAGTTTTTTTTTGCCCTATTTTCTTTATTATAAAAAAGAGAAAAGAGTTTAAAGGGGTTAATGTGAAATGCAGAATCAAATTGGTCTCACCCAATGACCAAAATTATATTTAAAAATTATTTAGAGTACAAATAGTAAATCAGTTTACAAAGCATGGACATGAATGCTTACATCGCACTATATACTTTTAATTGATTTAGTTTGTGTTTAAAGAACTATTAGAGTTAAAATTGGCAAACAATATAAGCATAAATACTTACATATTTTTTATTTACAATAATTATTTCATTTGTTGTTAATTTGAAATTTTTATTTTTTTAAAATCGCATAATAACGTCCCAAAATAATGTTTTTGAATTAACAACATGCACATGTGCATTTTGAAATAATGTAAATAATGTGCAGGGTATTAAAAGGTGTGCGTTATTATGTGTTTATATAGTTAAGGTAAAAATCTATGCAGCAGCTAACCAATAAAAATGTTGCAATTCACAGTTACACAATTTAATCGCATAATTTATATAGATAATCTAAACATTATCATTATATACAAATTTTTTTATTATAGTTATAGATATAGATAAATAGAAAATTATAAATGACGACCCTATATGATCGACCAATCATTTTTGAGATTGACAATCATATAAAAAATTTTTTAGTACATATTATAATCTTGTTATATCCTTTTTTTTTTTTTTTTTTTTTGCTTTCTTTATATTTATGCTTTTTGCCTGTTTTTTTGCTTTTTGCTTTCTTGTTTGCTTGTTCAGGTTATTTGTATTGTTATCGAGCAAGTTTTTTATTTGTTTTTTTGGTCTTTTTTTTTTTTACTTTTTTTCTTTTCCAAGTGTGATTTTGTTGCTAGAGTCATCGCTATTGGAGTTCTGTTCCATTCGCCATTGGGTAAGTTTTTCATTATTCTTTTTTTTGCTGCTCTTTGCCATTGCCGTTGGGTAAGGCTTTGTTCATTTTTTGGTTGTTACATTTTTTTTTTTTTTACCTTTATTTATTATTCTAACTAACACTTCTCTTCTTCCAGGTATGTAATATTTCACTATTGGAGTCATTGCAATGGAAGTTATTAGTGCTGTTGTTCTTGTATAAGTTTTTTTTGTTTTTTTTGTCTTCTTTTTTTTTTTTTTATAATTACTAATTTTTTCTTTCATGTGTGTGTTTTCACTTTTGGAGTTTTCGTTAAAGTCTTCATTAAAATCTTCATTGAAAATTGTCATTGGAGTTGGCACATAATTTTGATGCCTGCTTTGGAATTGTCAGAACTTTCATTGCAGAAAAATTGTGCTGTTTGATTTTCATATTGGTAGATTGATTTCGATATGTAACGAAATTTTTTTTTTGGTCATTAGTTTTTTTTTTTTTTAATATAATTACCAATTTTTTCTTTTTTTATATATGCTTCACTATTGGAGTTGTTATTGAAGTCTTCGTTAGAATCTTCATTGAAAATTGTCGTTGGAGTCGTTACGTAATTTTGGTACTAGCTTTGAAATTGTCAGAACTTTCATTGCAGAAAATTGTACCGTTTGATTTTTGCGTTAGTGGATTGATTTTGGTGTGTAAAGAAATTTTTTTTTGGTTGTTAGTTTGTTTTGTTTTTTTTGTTTTTTTAAATATAATTACCAATTCTTTTTTCTTCCATATGTGTTTCACTATTAGAGTCTTTGTTAGAATCTTCATTGAAAATCATCATTGGAGTCGTTACATAATTTTGGTGCTAGTTTTGAAATTGTTAAAACTTTTATTGCAGAAAAATTGTACTATTTGATTTTCACATTGGTGGATTGATTTCGATACATAATGAAATTTTTTTTTTGGTTGTTAGTTTGTCTTGTTTTTTTTTTTTTTTTTTAATATAATTACTAATTTTTTCTTCTTCCATATGTGTTTCACTATTAGAGTCTTCGTTAGAACCTTTATTGAAAATCATCATTGGAGTTGGCACATAATTTGGTGCTAGCTTTGGAATTGTTGAAACTTTCATTGCAGAAAAATTGTGTCACGTTGGTGAATTGATTTTGGTATGTAATGAAATTTTTTTTTTTAGTTGTTAGTTTGTCTTGATTTTTTTTTTTAATATAATTACTACAGTTCGTGACACTTAAAGACTACACAAAATTTAAAAGCCAATATCTTTTGATCTAAAAAATATATTTAAAAAAGGAAGCTGCTATTTTATAGCTTAATCAATTTGCTACAACCTAGCGCAGTGTTGTACATGGGACAATTTTGGACATTTTTTCAAATTAAAATTACTCAAAATTTTATTAAGATAATCTATCTTAATTTTTTTACTAATGAGTCCAGCACCTAAAAAAATGTATAATTATATATATTTTTTAATTACTTTACAATTTTGGACAATCTTGGACGTTGGATATTTTACATAGTGTGGACATGTCCCATGTACAACACTGACCTAGCGGCTTTATTTTTTAAAAAATTATAATAACTTTTTAAAGTATATAGCTTTAAAAAAAATAATATTTTTATATGATTATATATGAAAAAAGTTAAAAATGAAACACATTAAAAAAAAATAGACAATCAAATTAGTTTAAATTTATATAATAAAATTTTAAAACTATTTTGACCAATCAAAATTCAAGAAATTTGACCAATCAAAATTAAGCAACTATAAAAACATCAAAATCAATATTTTAAAACAAATTAAAGTTTTAAATTTTAAATTTTAAAAATGAGACAAATGTAGTCTTTAAGTGTCATACACTGTAATTCTTTCTTCTTCCATATATGCTTTGCTATTAAAGTTGTTATTGGAGTCTTTGTTAGAGTTTTTGTTGGAATCATTTTTGGAGTCATAATATAATTTTGGTGCTATCTTTAGAATCATCAAAACTTTTGTTGCAGGAAAATTGTGCTATTGGATTTTCGTATTGGCAGGTTGATTTGTAACAAAATATTTTTATTACACAACTATGTTATAAATTCATTTCATTTTGTTTTCATTTTTTTTTTTTTTTTTATATATAAAAACTTGTTTGTTTTTTGCTGTTTTATATATATATATATATATATATATATACTGTATAAGATTTTTATTAAATAAAAAAATTGCGTGATCTCATGATCGATTTTGATTGGTCGATTGTAGGGTCACCATAGTGATGAGTCGTTATAAAATAATGCTTATAAATAAAAATTTTTATTTATATTAGGCTAGTTTAAATTTTCATAATATATAATATATTTGAACATCACAATTTAATTGGTACAAAAATTACAATAATAAAAATTAATTTGATTGGTTTATAATTAAAAAATAAAACTTAATTTTAAAATAATAATATATTTGTTGATCAAATTTTATATAATAAAATATTTGGAGTATCTGAGCAGAGCAGAACAGTAATGTTAAAAAAAAGCCCATAGAGCTTTTTTGAGCATTTAAAAAAAACCAAGTGGGGTGTAGCACCATGATGGGCTTTTTTTTAGTATTACTATTTTGCTAAGTTACTTATTATAATAAAATAATGAATAGTAAAAATAAGTAAAATTTATTAATAAAATTATAAAAAATATTATGATTCTTAAAATATTATTAATTAATTATATCTTTATATTCTAGAATAAAGGTACTGATATTTATTAGGTAATATTTTAGAGTGAGGTTAAGCAAAATCTTACCTCATATAAAACAATTATAGCTAATCAAATTTAGCTAACTGGAGGTAGAAGAGTAAGCCTCTATAGTAAAAAAAATATTAGGTAATAAATGTCAGTACTCTAACTTGTTCTATACATAAAATACATTATACTAGCATACTTTTATTTTATATTTTTTAATTTTAAGAAGTAGATGCATAATTTTAAAATTTTAATTTATATCTTTTTCTTTAAAATTAAAAAATATAAAATAAAAGTATGCTAATATAATGTATTTTGTATGTAGAACAAGTTTCTTAAAATATAAAGATATAATTAATTTTTTCCGGGTTGCCGGCTGGAACTGCGAGAGGGACCGATGAAGCTTCCGGGTAAGGAGACGGCTGGACTGCGGGTACTGGGGTTGTTGTGAACCCTGCAAGGGCAAGGAGCACGTAATGGGCGACTAATTAGGAAGGTTGGGCTTGAGATACGGATTGTGTTACGGTAGCACCCCAAAAGGTAGCATGAGATACGAACACAATAGCGGCAAACAATATGTACTAATTAGAAAAGAAATTACCAAACATGCAAGTGAATGCATGTGTGGGACATGCACTACTCTGTTGGGTTTACCACAAGGATAAATGCCTTCTGTTGTTGGCTAAAGT